TAGCTGTATGCGTTGCATTGCACCACGGTTACTTCTTCTAGTAACCGTGATTGTACCCATATTAAATACTACGTCTCGTGACGGTCACATCCTTTAACACTGTCGCTTATCAGAATTATATAGGGGCTTGTATTATTGTTTAACTTTCAAAACATATACATATATGCATACACGACTTCGTGTCATAAATATTGAATTCGCACTAATTGTTAGAGTGCGCATTATTGTATTAACACGCCCGACAGTGGTAAATAGGTAAAGTACGGAGAGAGAGCAATTGCGTGTATACAATAAAGCAACATTTTTGAAGATGGAAAAAAACATGTTCATATTTGTGTGATTGTATATACATGTATGTACATTGTTATTTGTTTGCTCTTCGAGTTATTTGTGAACACACAATACAATCTCAATATAACAGTGTTGAAGCTACAATGTGAAAGAAAACGTGATTTTAATATTAAAGCGGGGGGAGGGGGCGTCACCTGCGCACACGCGGGAATTGAGTCCCAAGCGACGATAACAACACACGCTAAAAACACAAAGGCTCATGGGTAGATGCTTGTTTGTAAACAATGACACGATATGGCCATCTGACGCATGCGCAGGTGACGACTCCCCCGCTTTAATTTAAAAACACATACTGTAAAGGGGTAATTGTTCACTGGGTTTTAATTTAGCTTATTTCGCTGACTGGATAAATGCGCTAAATTAAAACACAGTGAATATGTAAAATTTAGCATAGAACACATTATCTAAATGACGAAACCGTGAATTTAAAACCCACTGAATATGCCTGAAATGGTAAATCAGTGAAATTTAAACCCAGTGAAAATTAGTCATTTTACAGTATTATCACATTATTTGGACGAGTTTATCTACAGTGTGAACAATTTCTAAGTAGTTATGAGACGAAGATGAAACGACGGCTAAACAGCAGCAAATACATTTACTAATATTGTATATATTGCGAACGATTAATCAAGTAACAAATCTCTATTTTAATAGTTGCCGCCGGTTATGGATTCTATCATGAGCGGACATTTATGGTGTGTCAATTAAAAAATGATCAGAATTTGAAAAGGTTCTTGTAATCGGTTCTCCAGATTACTAATCTAACTACTAGTACTTTGAAATGTTAAATATAAACTGACATATGTGCAGTAGCGAGTGACACTGTACGTATTCGTCGTGAAACAGTTACATTTGTCTGAGGTATATTCTCTTTTAGGGTGTTTATTCTTTAATTATTGCTGGAATTTAAAGTACATCTGAATACGGTGGCCGGTATCATGAACGACCTTGTCGCAATGGGTAGCCCCTCCCTAAGCAAGAAAACTCTTTCTGTACTTTATATACGTATCTTACTTGATCACATGACCGGAAAAGGTCAGCGGTCATACACAATACGGATATACTAGTATGATTTTCACTGAATTCGTCAATTATTGAGTCACGGGAAAACCCGGCGTTCGTGTCAAGGCACATTTAGAGATATTGTGGAGTGCAGAGTGAGTTTAACACTGTAACAGGTATGCAACTATCTTACGTAATTGCTGTGTTGTTTATACTTATTGTAGAGCCTGCTTTACGTATGCATTTACTAGTTCCACCGCAACTTTACCGTGATCTGTATCAATTGAATTTTGTAGAATAATGTAGGGAGTAACGTACATGGCTATGTCGTCATTACACTAAAATTCAACCGGAGAATTCCTAAGCACCGCCTTCACTTCAATGAGCAGACTAATGACCTTGAACCGGGTAATGGGTTATTGACTATACTACCACCGTCAAGTCAGTAACTCAAGATAAGAGAGTGCAATGACATATATTCAAATACCATTGTCGTCCGTTGTGGGTCCCATGCAACGTCTACAACGCGTATGAATTGTATTTTTTTGTTCGAAATTCGAACGCGGCTTACAACGACTAGTTCGCTTTAATAGTGCGATATTGTATATTTTTCTAACGTGATTCATAATACTTGATCTCGACTTCTCAATAACTTTAATGACAGTGTTTCTCTCTGTGATACCGGTTTACGTTCAACTTCATACATATGCACTGTAGTAAGCCTCGCTCTGGTCTAATCACGTTCCTGTGGGGAAAGGGGGGGGGGGCTTGACTGGTATACCATTCATAACGCACATGCGTATTCCTCGACTAGCTGAGTGTCCCCGGAGTATGTGCCACTCACCAGAAACGTTTGAGTGAGTACGTCGAGCGTCTAACTACAGAGGGACTGTGGTTTAACGTGTTATAATTCATGTTGTGAACAGGTGATTTCAGACTAACCCAAGATGGCTACTGTGACGTCAGATATCGATGTTCCAATTCTTAGTAATAAGGAAGCTAAAGAATTGATCGGAATCCACCCACTCGGAAAATTCATGCAGGTAGGACGATGAGAGTGATACAAATGTTTAAAACCCGTTTATTGTCAACACTGTTAATTGACCACTTTCCCGGAACTATCGAGAATACAAACATGTCTGTATGCTAATATTCGGTCTGGTAGACATAAACAATATCACTCGTGCATGTTTACGTTATACCCCACATTCGGTATGCGCGCGCACTCGAAACGCCGTATCCTCGATTTCCGATAATTGGCCTACATTGCCATCTCTACGTGCTTTTATAAACGTCTTTTAAAATTAACATCAAATTAATGATATCGTTGAAGGGCGGCGGTCGGTCGCGCCGCGTTTTGTTCGATATGGTACTCATAGCCACATATACAATGCGTGCAAAATACATTGTTTACAATAATAATAATAATAATTTATTGACATAACACCGATATAGTACAATACGGCAGTATGGCCACTAAATACAACTATTAACTACATTTAAAATAGAATTAACATATTTGGCGAAAGGTATCATAAGATGAGTATCCATAGCACTTAATAAATAAATGAAATTCAAACACACGCTGCGCGACGACCACTGCCCTTCAAATTTCGAATGACATCAAATTGTGTGTACAAATATGACCGTTAAAATGACCTGCCAATGACTCACACTTTATGTCACGATTTCTGCAGAGGAAGTGTATATTGCTCCACTGTTCACTGAACATACTGATGAATTTAGTCAAAGCGAGGGAGAATAGAAAGTATTACGATAATGCAAATGCAAAGAAGCTTTTGGACGTATTTAGTGGTTCCCTGAACAAGGACCGGAGAATTCCTGCCATGCTGACACTCAGTTATATTGTTGATCCTGTGAATGAAATCAATATGATAGAAGATAAGTTAGGTGAGAATATATTTGTTGTTGCTATGGCTACATTCCGTGCAACTCTTTCTCTATGAATATAATGCTTTGGTAGCGAAATATAACTAAGAACTATTGAGTCATTAATTTGTAGTTGAATAAAAAACCCAATTGATTTTCACGGAGATGTGAACAGTGCCATCAGCGGTAAACATATGGTTGTTTTCGTTTACAATGAAACGCCTTTTTTCATTGTCAGGGACGATTTCACGATATTATGAACACATAGTTGTCAAGCATGTACATTGTTTAAGTGTAATAATTGTACATTATTATATTCAAATCACTGACTCAGTGTACACGTATAAGTATATTACACGAGTTGCCGTATACTGTAAAATACTTCAAAGTTTATTTTAGCTAGAATTATTTTTCACTGAAAAAACTTTATGGGTGTTTTGTATGGAATTTATTTTTATTGATTTTTGATGAATTGAATATAAAAAATAGAAAAGAGTATAATCGCTATTTTTTTTCTTTAATTTTCACTGATTCATCCCTTCAAGAAAAATAGCGAAAATATATTCCAGGGGGAAATTAAACGAAGTACAGTACGTCAGATATATCTCATATCGAACACGATGCGACGCGATGGCTGTGACGCTTTACTAGTAATACATTTTAAACTGTGTACAGACTAGTAATTCTGACTGGCCGTGACCATCTACCTACATTAATTTGTAAAACTGCATAATTTGCTTGTGATATGTAATCTCCTTATATATGTAATTTACTATAAATAAAATTTTGCAAAACAAGTCATCGGTAATTTATTTGGGATTATAAGTTTCTGCACAATTTTCAATATATATTTTCCGCTCCATTAGGTGTTATTGACTCACTGATTGAGTATCTAAGTAAATGTGTCGAGGAAACAACAGAGCAGTCCTATTCAGTGAGTGAGTTGGTGGAAGGACTTGAAATGCTGTCACGACATCCAAAGAACAGAGAAAAGGTAATTGGAGGTTGTAGATATCGTCATGTGACATGCGTATTAGACGTATGTGCCACACCCTAACCTAGTCTGATTAGGGATGAACCATTTTATTGTCTATGCTGGCTACGCTAGAATCTTCGCCAACGCACAGTCCTTATAAGCAGCGCCCTCTAGCGATGTGACGTGAATGGGCGTGACGCCGTTTGCATCGCATCAATTATGATTTCTATTTCGACGACATTATTTACGCCCATCTACGTAATGTTGACGTACAGGGTCAACTTATCGGAAAGAACCCAGAATAGTTTTTTCAAAAACATTCAAACAAAAGCCACACTAAGATAAAACAGCAACAGAAACACATTTTAAAGGTAAAAGTACACGAAACAGCCCGGAGAGTGGAAAAAACGTAGAGCTGGCATGGCTTAATTTGACTGAAGTCAATTGTGAAATACACCTTTTTTAATTATACATTCAGTCATAATCGTAAATCAACTTTTTGATGAATGCGTACTGCCTGGGGTCAAACACCCAGACTAGTAATCGACATGAGTAACAGGCCTTTGCCGACGAACTCGGCCTCAAAATTACTTGGCGTGTGAGTTTTTTGGCGAGCTCGCGGTAACCAACTCCGACCATAAAACTAAACATAAAGTAATTCCAGAGATACTGTTCAATGCGTATTTATACCTCTTCCACGCGAGGTGTATGCCATATTCGTGTTTGAAGTGGTCATTGAAATGCCGATGAATGCATCTGAACATCTAGACACATAAACGCCCATACTGCAACCATACACCATTTCAAACCTTTTCAATAAATCGTGCCCTCTAGTATCAAAGCGCCCCTATGAAGTAAACTTGGCAAATAAGGGTGTCACGGTACACAATGTCATATACACATCTGTTGATATGTGTTGTTGTTAGTCATATAATATTGTAATATTTTTATAAAAATCATATTTTATATTATGCAGAAGACAACATTATTACTGGCCTATTTTGAATGACCTTTCACCCATTTACGTTATAGAAGCGCTTCATCACCAGAGGACACATTTTATAAGTCCGGTTAATGATATATTATACGTCGAATTTAATGCATGTCTGGTGTCGAGCCCGATCAGGCCATTACATGTGTATGTGATCACAAGGTTGGAGTTCAGAAAGGGTCATTCCTTAACTTGAAAATACTTTCTTTTACTTTACCTCCACTAGAGCGTGTTTGTCGATCTTCGTCCTCCATCAGTTGTCAGTGAAAACATACCGCATATAGTACATATATTTTTGTTTCTGTCCGTGACAATATCTGAAAATTTTGATGGATACATTTTTTTCATATTTATCCAAAACATATATACAGATTCAATGTAGTTGAATCACTTACGCCCTGCAGTCCTCCGATAGAAATAATTGTAACCCTAATTGTCGCTATTTCAAACAGATCGTAGATGGCGCTTTACTGATGATGTGTCAGATTACTGAAAAGGGAAGTGAGAGAGAGAAGCAGTGTGTTCGAAATGCACTGTTATCGTGGGGGTTGTACGACGAAGGCGAGACGTCTGAAAGTAAGGGTGCGTTTGGTCCTGGAGGTAGGTAAACCTTGAATATATATGCCTGTCATTATATGCAATACAATAATACACTAAATACTTATCCGCACGATCATTTGTAATATGCTATCAAAGAAATATTCTATCGAAGGATATGTTTTTGTGTCATGTTACGATGGAAGTTGCGAGCACGAGTCATCCGCTCGTGTCACGAGCCGTTGTATTGGCAGATACACTGTAAGTGTTTACTTTGAATTACCGCGATGCACAGTCACTGTATTTTTCGGTAACCCAACGTCATTGTCATTGTTGACGCAGAATCCGAGGATGAATCCTTGTCCGAGAAACTGACGTTTTTAGAGACGTTGTTTGGTTGCCTCGGTGATATAAATTCACTTAGTTCAAGTGAATTAAGAGACCTCCTGCAAGCAATCAATCAAACATTGATCGATACACCCAGGGACCAGCGAGAAGTGATAGGAAACAAGACAGCTATGATTGGGGGCGTAGGTAGGTATTTTTTTTTATCTAGACTAGTAGGTCAGTCACGGTGATGACTGGCAATTTGTTCGTGAAATTACAGTCTTGCAATAATGCACGGGCATAATACATAAACTCGCATTTTTTTCAAGATTACAATAAAAATAATAAAAACGAAATATGTTCACATATGAAATGAGCGAGCTTGTTTTTCTATTACGTCACTAATCACGATGCGATCATTTTTCTCGCAAACACATTTTGCATATTTTTTACGTATAATATATTCTTTTTTTATAATTTTGTACCAATTGAACGTTGGCTACAGGTCTCAGTCAAATGTTTAGAAGAAATATGAAAAATTGTAGGTTTAAATAATGTAGGTTATTACCAAACGCTTCAGCGTGGTATTAAGAGTTTGTTTTCAGGGGTGGGTGATACCAAGGTGGGAAATGGATGCACATATGGGGTTAGTTCCTTGAATTGCAATATAGAGGGTTCAAGCTGAAATACAATATATAGTGTTTTCATGTTTCGTCTGATATTTCTGTGGTATTCTGCTGCTGTAAGTAATGCACGATTTGTTCCGAAATTTAGTATATTGTGTGTATTCCAGGGTTATTCGTTTTTTGCTGAGTCGAATAGTCTCACTCCCACTGGGAAATCTGCATTGTTGCTTGAATGTGAGTTAATTAAACACCTTTTCCAGACCGGCGAAAAAGTATACAACAGCCAATTTTAACAGCCTGTCACGTGATTTTAGTCTGAATGTCAACATGAAGAGGCTAGTCCATTTTACGCAGGAGTAATTGGGAGTAGAAAATGTGAGGGATAGTATCAACAGAGATGTGTATAGTGAAAAGTAATATCTATCCTTCATTTGCATCTCTGAGCATTTCTGTTTTAGTATATTGGTTTGAAAATGTTGAACTTGCATGATTTGCAATGTGTTTTTTTAATTGGGACTCCCCTATTGATCGAATCCCGGGTTTGAACGAGAACGGCACACCACGTGATTCGTTTGAATACAATGCTGATGGCAAACATGCCGTGTTACTGC